TGTATTAATATATAGAAGATAGATGGTTACAACAATGTTGCTTATAAGAAATGTACTATTAAATATTTGTTGGTATTAAAAATTCAGAATTATAAATAGGTACGGAACATATACTGTGTAAGTTAAACAAATATTACAAGGGTAAAGAGTTGATGTTTTGTAAAACTATGCTGTTTCCGATTTTAAATTTCTCAATGACTGCCATTTTGAATTGCTTGAACGTATACATGTGGTAGTCAACAACAAGTAAGATCCTGTTAGTATTCATACATTGATCGACTTTAAAGTTGATTCCAATAATAGTTTAAAAGTTAAGTGGAATTAAATAAAAATAACAAACAAACCGACATGCAGAAAAGTAGCCATTTTAGACCCATGTTTTTAAATATGTTTTTTATTAACATAAAATACAAGTGGACAACATTTTTCCAGGGAGTTTTTATACACCCTGTATAATATACACACATAACAATTAACAGTTATAAACAATCTGGAAACCTCTATCTACTGAAGTTAGCAGTTGTCTCGCACGTGACTTAGAAAATATAAAAAAACGTCACTAATGAAGTTTGCATTCAACGTTAAATGATTGCATTCTGTTACGGTTATGTAAACCAACCGTATTTACTATTAACCGCATTTATTAACTGTATTTTGCTAATGCAAAATAATTAATTAATGTGGCCACTGTTAAATGTTTATTTTAAAATATCTTACGGGTACTTTCCTGTTAAAGGGAACATTCATTATTATCGATCTGATTTCTTTCGATATATCGATAATTTTGTTTACCTTGTTTCTCTTTTGATGGCTCATCTACAGACTAAGACCTTTCTTTAGAGACCCCTACCAACCCCTACCAAGTTTCTACGCCCAGCCGTTCTCTGAAATTAGCAGTGACAAAACCCCGTTTTTCCTCCATAAGAATAACATGGGATGGGAATTTAAAGGCCACTGGGGCAGAGCCCCAAGGGAATTTACCACATTTCTCTTTTGATGGCTCATCTACAGACCAAGACCTTTCTTTAGAGACCCCTACCGAGTTTCTACGCCCAGCCGTTCTCTCAAATTAGCTGTCACAAAGAAAAACAGTTTCAAATTAATATATAGATTTTTAAATTGTTTGTTGATACTGAACAATATTTACTTATCGTAGTTGTCAGCTGACATCTCGTTCATTATCGGATCAAAAATAGAATATCGATGTATCGGAAAGAAATCATCGATAATAATGAATGTTCCCTTTAACAGGAAAGTACCATTTTACGCAATGCGGCCAAGGCCAAAATTAGTACAGCAGCTACTATGGTTGTACCAACTATTATATTAGTTTTCTGAATCTAACCATTTGAATCCCCAGTTAAATGTATGTAAATATTAAAACATATACATATTTTAAATAGCGTATCCTGGAAGATGTTATTACGGAATATGTACGTTTTCATTTTACGGAAAAGGCGGATACACTTAACAATCACACGTCCTTTCCAAAAGAAACAGTGTGTCAAGAGTGCTTCCTGGCTCAAAAATTCAATACATTTCCTTTCTCAGTCAGAGGTGCATAACTGCATTCCTTTGAACACAGTCAGCATCCTGCCTGGTTTGTCCACCCCTAGCGGAAGCCACCCTCACGGTCACGTGTAATCTCTCTCTCTTCCATCCCCCTCTCGCGCCAACCCCCAACCGTTGGCAAAACTCCGCAGTATGAGGAATTCGCGGATGGGGACCCTTTCTACCTGATACCCGTTGGCAAAACTCCTACACTCGGGGCAAACAGGGTCTGGCCGCCATCTTGGATACCGCACTTCCGGTTCAAATTTCTCTTTGGCAACACGCAGATTTGTACTCAGCATGGTCGAATTACCCTAAAAAATCTGTTTACCCAATCGTTACATGAAGTTTTTCTTGCATTGCTCTTTTTTAAAAACGTACCTTCTCCAATTGTGTTTCGTTGTAAATTAATAACATTAATAATATATGGATTATTAAATTACAAATTATTAGATTTTGGTTATTAAATGATAAAGGATAATTACGTTTTTGTTACCCAAGCAGCTACAGGTTGAGTTCGGACATATTTCGTCAGTAAAAACTCAAATATAATCACCTCAATGTATATTTAATCCGTTTTAAAAGTAAACTCTTTATTAAAATCTAATTTATCACTTTTTTAAACGGGATATCACTATAAGTGTAATGTAGACTCTTAAAGCAAATTTCTTCTTCTTTTCAACCATAAAAGAATTATCAAAATCAGTCGAAAAACGATGGAGTTATTTGCATTTTTCTCGATGAAGGTCAAGTCAGGTGGTCCGCCATATTGGATGGCAGCCATATTGGTACTCGACCAACGCCGATCGTGGCAACATGCGTTTTCTTACTGTCCAAAAAGAGAAAGTGCGTCCGAATAATTTTGCATACTCAACCCCAACCACGGCCTGGTCTATAAGGCAAACTTTAACAATACTGTATTATGTTGACTCATTTGTTTTTAATTCAACTGTTTGTATTCCTATGAATCCTTTATTTATACTTCTAAACGTTTATAGTTCTTATTAATACAGTTGAACCTCATTCATGTAATATCAGACCAATAGCCTATAATTGTTTATGTTAGAATTTTAACATATAAATATTCTTTGTAGCCTATATTCAAAATATATTATCATGTACACTTTAAAAGGTTATAAATCTAAAAAAAAAATGCTAATCTATTACAATAGTATTTCGTCGTCTTGAATCTAAAGTTGCAGTTGTTATTGGGACTGTGGCGACGTCCTGTAATCCATCTACTGTACTAGGTCACGAATTGTGGATATTTAAAGGCATGCACTGTGGATGCGATACTCCCTGGTGTGGATTAACGGACGTCCTCACTTGTAAGTACTACGACTACCCCCAGTGCTATCCTGATAATTGGGCCAATTCGTTAGTTACAAGGCAAATGATGTGATTTGGATTACCCGTATGAGCTATTAATTAACAGCTGTCTAAGAAACATGTCGGCTAGTCACTAAATACTACAAGATCGAGCCACTCATCCTTCACTCATGTCACTCATTGTGTTAAAAAATAAGCACCTAGTACCCCATCTTAAATAATTGATACAGTATTGACTGATTATAGCTAAATTCAATTGAAGTTTTTGCTCAAGTTTATGTAGATTACTAAACAATGTGAAGGTATTTTAAAACAAAAGCCCTAAGTTGATATTTTCTCAATGGGATTACAATTGTTTGGGTAGCCGCGTGGTAATAGCGCTCACCTGTAAATCTGAAGGTCGCCGGCTCGATTCTAAGCTAAATCAATTCCGGATCAAGATACATTTGCCATTTTTCATTAGGCTATCAATTAATGATGACAACCAAACGTTAGCGTTAGATAGTGACCAACATGACCTAGAAAACTCACAATAAAAATTCGGTGTGAGCAAACATTAGTGTAGATACTGTTTTAACGTTCAGAACATTGCTAAGTAGTTGTATACTATTTTTTGTTTATAAACAATTCTGATATCCGACCCTAGCGCCTCGCGGTCGTAGTGGCCTCGCCGTGAACTACGCGACCGTGTCAGTGGGGTCGTCTACTTCTACTTTCTACCTTCTACCAGATAGTGGTCGTGGAACAAGTTACCGACATTGCATAACCTTCCCATCCCTACCTGCCTACTTCCTTACTTTCCTTTCCTCTTCTTCGCCGCAAGAGCAGATGTAGTGATAACGGACAACGGATAGGAGCTTGCGTTGTCTTTACTGTATCACATGGGCATGACGAAAGATCGTCAGCAAGTGGCGTTTTATAATTCGAGTTACTACAAGGAGGAAAAGTTTGATAATTTACAATTCGAAAATCGTGTTATGAAACTGTTTTGCAACCATGGTTTGGAACTATGGACTTCTGTTGTGTTTGAAAATTAGAACTTTGCATTTCAGTGATGGTGCTCGATCTCTAAACGATTTTTCTATACCTAAGTAATTCAAAGACCAAACATTACATTTGCTACATTTTCCAATTTGCTTGTCATAATTAACAATTTTGTTAGTTATTTTTAAATTGATCAAGTGCAGATAATTACGCCTGTGCAGGCGACAAAAATGTGGAAAAATACCTATTACTTCGAAAACATCGCTTTTGCAAACATCTTTAGTTTTTATATGAAAAAATACTGAGCAAAGGATAATGGTTCGATTTGCAGATTGGCTACCTATTGGATTAAACGCTTTTCATACACACACTGTAGCTATAATCAGCATCCTCAATAAACTCGCATTTGTGAATTTATCTAAACAACCTAATTTATACTTGTTTTGACATATTTATTGATATTTTTATTATTGTTTTTAAATTTTCTTGTTATCATTTGAATTGTATAAAAAACTTGTAATGATTGTAAATGTACATAAATGAATTGTACACTTAAATTGAATAAATGTTCTTGCATGTAAAAGGGTCTTCCGTCAATAAATAAAAAAAACGTGTTGACCAATTCTCAATACTATACTGTACTGTACTTGTTTAATCTCATAACCAAAAAACTTCACATTTAATATTGTTCTTAAAGCTTACAAGCATTTTTATGCTATAACTACATTCAGAGGGACTAATAGTTTTACCTGCAACGAAATATAATTTAGAAGTGGCGTATGCTTGATTTCGAATAAGCACACATTTTACTTAATTTAAAAATTAAATGTTTACAGCACCAACTATATCATATCAGACCACGAGCGGCCAAAAAGCAAAACCGGAAGCATTGTTTATATGTGGGCCAACTGGACGAAAGTAGAACAAGATATGTAATGGATTAAGCAAGACCGTACAGCAGGTACTTATGACAAGAGAAGCTATTGGATAACTGTGAGTGTGAGAGAGACAGAGCGATAGTGGGGGAGGGAGAAAGGCACCCCTCCACCCCTCCCCACCACTCGCAAAGTCCGCGCTCGTATTGTTCACCAGTCAGGTTACTTTCGTTATCGGTGCGCGAGCGCATCCCTCCGAAAATATCAAAATTGGCGGTAAATTAACAAGTTCAAGAAATGACTTGGTAGTGAGGGGACTAATTTTAAATTTGGAAAACTATGGGGACTAATTTGTGGACTCATAGCTGACACTTTTTTCAAATTGAGAATACCAAATTTTTATTTTATCATATAAGTTTTAAGTTAATTTAAAAATATGTATTTTACGAATTTTGCGCTTAACAGTGCTATAGCACTCGTGGTAGTTTTAACAGCGAATTCGGTTACAAGTCATAGTATAGGTGTATCTAACTTTACTGCCGTGGATAATGCGACGTTCGAGGTATCCGAAGAGACCGATGTTCCATCGTTGGAGATATTCGGGGATACGACACACTTCGAGGATCCGATCACGGTACGGGTGAGTGCTTCTGCGTCGACGATATCGTCCAGGAGGGACCTCAGGAACACACAAAACTCCCCCAAGTCCACAGACATGGACACAGGGAAGGTTCTGGAGCAAATCATGACAGGCACCGAGTCGAAAAACGATATCCCGAGTAGACTGCCGGTCCAGAAGATGTCGAAGATGGTGAAGAACCAAACTGAGATGGGGAGTCTGGAGGAGTTGCTGGACATATACAGCGCGTCACGACTAGCCTCTGTGTGGAATCGAACCGTGGACCTCCAAATAAGTGACCAGTGTCGTGAGGACATCACCGGGTATCTTAGAGGACTACGGCGAGGAGATCTGTGGGCACTGCAGAGTGAGTACTAGTGATAGCCTAAAGTCTAATCAGAAGTGTTACATTGTTGACACCGTAGAAGTTTTATTATGAAGTGTATAATGAAATTCAACTTATTCGTTATACAACTCAAGTACAATTAATCAGTTTAGTTTCATCTTTGACCATGAACCGTAGTGGACATCCTATTCTCTCGTACTAATGTTGTTGCCAGTTGTAAGGTGGAAATGAAAGTATCGAAGATTACGTTTTATTTGAATTAAAAATTGTCAACAGCTTGCACAATATAGGTAGGTAGGAATGGTATTATCGATCTGTAAATAATCATACATTCCAAGGTATTTAGTACTATAACGAGTATTTAATAATTTCAACTAAAAAAAGGGAAGGTCGTGGTGCTTATGTTTAGTTTTACACAATATCGTAGGGCATCCTGCCGTACAATTACCTCCAAGATGGAGATGTACTTCATAATTCTTTAACTGTTAAAACAGATTTTTCGGAAAGGTTTTTGAGATTAATAGTTTGATTTTAAAATTAGTTCTGGCTACGCACATTACGTTCTGGTATACAATTAATGCCGCGTTATTGAAATAGTGTATACATCGATGTTCTGTATATAGTAGACTAATACTTCAATGAGTGAATAGCAAAGTAAATAAGTAGACCGTTTACCTTTTGTTAAGTATTAGGGGGTCAAAGTCTTAACTTCAAAAGCTTGAATTGCAATTTAAGTTTTTTTTATATTTTAAACATTCCAGGATTAACACAATTGATAGAATACTTGTAACATGTCGACTATAAGCCTTCAACTATTATTCATTACCTCATGTCATGTAAATAGCTGATTCCTGGGACGATCACATTATTGTCAGAAGTTCAGTATCTGTATGTAATATTTCTAGAGGATAAACAACTAACCAGTTTTTTTACATGCAGCTGATACAACTTTAACAGTTTGACTTTAACAACTTTAACGGCTATATTTCCGTGTCAACAAATAAACAATAAAATAAGTTTTTATGTAGACGTAAACATAACACGGACTTGGCTATATTATATTAAGGTTTTAAAAGATTTGTTGCAACCTTATGAAATAATTGTTAATTTATTTGGATATTTTATTAATCAACTAAATAATTTGCCATGTTAAAAACACTTTTAGGTGCTTAAATCTTAATACTATAATAGCTGTACTACTAGGACGTTAACACATATTTAATGGCTGTATTTTGCTAACATTTCGCCTTGTCATCGATTTCAATTAATTATCCTTGTTTACATTAACATATACTTATCCCTAAACTCAATCTTTCAAACATTACTATTGAATTTAACCATAATTAGTCCTACTTTTAGTCTTAACGAGCAAATTATCTAATAGTGTTAAGTTATATAGGAACGGTTCGTAGGTCAACTGGGCTCATACTATGGACAGTTTTTTTTTATTATTTATTTTGATAAAGCACTAATACAGAGTACAATAATCCTATAACCATAAATGAAGTAATATAAAATGGCATTTATTTATTCTATGCTATAACATAAATAACTTCTTGATCAGCATGCTTTTTTCAGCTATAACATACTCAACTCCTCTCTTTCTAGTTCGATTTGGAGTGTGTTCATATTAATATTAGGTTTTGACGGTGGCAAAAAGGTCAACGGTAAAGAGGGATTTTTACTAACTATGACGCCAAAACTGTTTTCTTCTGGCAAACCATTGAAAGCTGTGATTGTTACTTCTATGACGAAATTTGTATTACGAAAATACATGCAAAAATTGTGAACAAATATTATAATTTATTATAATATTACGAAGCAATTTTTGAACCTGTTTGGCAAAATAAGCCATAGTGAGAACTATATTAAGAATGAACATAAGGACTTTTCAAATTTCTACCGACAAGTCAATGGAAAGTAATACCACTGTCCAAAATCAATGGTATCAAAAACAGGAGTTTTGAAACCATTGGTTTTGGAGAGTATTACTTTATGAACAGTAATTATCATAGTGTTTTACTCAAAAACATAAATTCAACATAAATTAGCTAACGCCATTTCCCAATTTTATAGTACGAGTATACTAAAAAAGAATATGGTTAGTTTAATTACCGCTATAATACAGCCAAAACAATCAAATGTAGAAAATTTTTAGACCTACTTAAAATTGATTTGTGTCAGTAGTACTAAATATAACTTATGTCAACCAGTAGGCTACTAAGCTTTTGCTAACATCCATATTTATCTGTCCAAAGGGAAAGGCTACGGAAATAAAATCCCCTTCATCATTGTTACCTGAACATTGTGCAATTCCAATATAATTCTACGGTATTTGTAGTTGTTCAATTACACGTTTAGTCGCCTAACAAGGACTTAACCAATTATCAGGACGTTGATTGAGTTTGGTTAAAACTACCACAATTACTGAACTATCGGAACCAAACCACTTTCTCTCTGTTCGAGAATCTTCCGTTGACTTTTGCTACGACGATAAAACAGTTTTAAAATCAACCTCGATTTACCAACTACAGTAGTTAAATTTTACATTGATGTAGATATAAAACCACATTCAGCTTTTCGTCCTTATGCATATTGGCATTACTCTTGAAAGATAAAGTAAGTGAATAAATCAGGTGATTTTGTTGAGCATAGTTTTTCAGTATCGAGTTACTAGATCGATATTAAACTGAAAACCCCAATAGATTTCCATTAACCGTAGGTTAACTTCCAAAAAGTTCTTGGTATTCTCCTAAATTGTAGAATTTTACATTACATATTAATTTTAAATGTTTATATACATGGGACAGTTTTAGGCCTATATTTTATTACAAAACATGAAAATACTAACAACCAATTGCAAAATTCAAAAAAGAAAAGAAAATGTAGCTAAAAATGTGTAAACATATTCGTTTATCGAATAATTTGTTGGTCTGTTGCAATAGTTTCAGAATTATATTATATTTTCAGTTAAACTGGCGGAGTACAAAGAGTTTTTCGTACTGATTTGGTCTTTAGCACCACATAGTAGATCTTGTTCTCACATTGTGTAGGCGGACCTAACACTAGGGTGCTAAACACCTCGTACACTGTGTGGCTCTACATTTAGCACTAAACTCTTTACCTGAACCGTTAGCAGAAGTGCAACCTGTCAACATAGTTAATCTAGCACTAGAGTGTACCAGGTCTGGTAACATTGGCACTATATAGAAACTTTACTGGACAACATTGTTGTTGCAAAAGAGGTTACCTAATGGTAAATACACTCAAGGAGATAATTTTAAATAAACGGTATCAGCAATCTGACACACACTTTCTCGCATTAGCTTGTCATTTTGTCAACAACCCCTAGCATCGTCAAGAGGTGGGGGAATGATTTGTATAGAAAAACTCACAAAAGTTACAATAACTTACTACATACAATAACTTACTATATTACCCAAACATGACCAAGCTGTCATTGGTCATTAGGTATCTTCTCAAAAGGCATCTCACACCAACAAACACTTATCCTTATTGTTGTATACACGTACTCATATTTATATCTGAAATACGCCCAGTTGCGTCCCGATTTCAATGGGGAATAATGAATTGGTTAAATGAGAATTTGGTTAACATTATTTCGGTTACTTCTGATTGACACCATATGTTTCTTGGAGATCGAATTAAAAACCTAATGATCCTCCTCAATGTTGACCGCAATTTGACGGATAATAGTTAAATGACCGCGTTTACCACGGACTGCTCGATATGGAATGCCTAGACCTTTCCATGACACGTCTAGACCGCAAGTTCAATCATCAGAAAGAGGCAGAGTTAAGCAATACTAATGGTAGAGCAGACGACTCGGTAACCGCTGCAGCATTTGCGTCATTCATCAGCTGATCTTTGCCGTGTCACTGATAGCAGACGACTCAGTGACCGCTGCAGCAGTTATGTTGTTCATCAGCTGACCTTTGCTGAGTCACTGATGGCAGACGACTCAGTGACCGCTGCAGCAGTTATGACATTCATCAGCTGATCTTTGCCGTGTCACTGATAGCAGACGACTCAGTGGACGCTGCAGCAGTTGCGTCAATCATCAGCTGATCTTTGCCGTGTTACTGATAGCAGACGACTCAGTGACCACTGCAGCAGTTATGACATTCATCAGCTGATCTTTGCCGTGTCACTGATAGTAGACGACTCAGTGACCGCTGCAGCAGTTATGTTGTTCATCAGCTGACCTTTGCTGAGTCACTGATAGCAGACGCCTCAGTGGACGCTGCAGCAGTTGCGTCAATCACCAGCTGACCTTTGCTGAGTCACTGATGGCAGACGACTCAGTGGACGCTGCAGCAGTTGCGTCAATCACCAGCTGACCTTTGCTGAGTCACTGATGGCAGACGACTCAGTGACCACTGCAGCAGTTATGACATTCATCAGCTGATCTTTGCCGTGTCACTGAAAGTAGACGACTCAGTGGACGCTGCAGCAGTTGCGTCAATCATCAGCTGATCTTTGCCGTGTTACTGATAGCAGACGACTCAGTGACCACTGCAGCAGTTATGACATTCATCAGCTGATCTTTGCCGTGTCACTGATAGCAGACGACTCAGTGACCGCTGCAGCAGTTGCGTCAATCATCAGCTGATCTTTGCCGTTGAAACTCCACAACCATACTCAAATTCAAATAGACTACATTTATACACAATTTATGGAATACTATTTTTACGCACACGCTGTGTTGTTACGACAGTGAAACAATATTGTTCAAGATACTATAGTAAATTAATGTTAAATCTTCAAAAAGGTTGAAATTGTTTTTGACAAATCGAAGTTAAAACCGCTATTTAAATAGAAACTTCACAACATCATTTCACACACATATTCACGTGGTAATATGCTACACTGTGTAGGTATATAATGAATTATTATTCATACAGATTGTGAGAGAAGAGGTCAGACCTCTAGGAAGATGGCGTGGGGAGTGTAAACGCGATGTCTTTACATAACAACCAAAATACCGAGCTGGAAATATT